TGAGGACCTAAAGGACCACATGTGGGCCTCGAGGCCGCAGGTACCCCAACCCTGTCCCAAACAGCCACCATGATGATAGGTGGGAAATAATGTCATGTCTTTCAGGGCAAGGAAGATAGTTTCTAGGTTTGAAAGACCCTATGATAATTGGGCAAAATTGAAACAGGTGACAATCCAAGAACTAAAGGAAAGACGGATGGAAGGTTTGGGGTTTGTTTGCACAAAAATACGGGACATCCAGTAAAAACTATTTAGGAGAAAGAATGGTGAGGACAGTTTAAAAGTTAAAATTTTATGCACAATTTATCAATTTTGTAAAAAATCTCTCTTCACTAAGAGGCACTGTTTAGCTTTTTAAGTTAATATACCCTTTTGCTCTTTCCCAGACTATCTAAGATACATCTTGACAGTGGAACTTAAATGATGACACTTTCTTATATAGTGTGAGCTGAACGTTGGGTTTTTTTTTCCTACAAAAACAAGTGTTTGAAAGGGAAAAGATAAGACTATGGGACAAGGCTGATGTGTTCCCTGGTGGTAAGTGTATGTGTGTTTGTTTTTTTAAAAGCTGTGATGGCTGAAGGCACCCTAGTCACACACAGGAAGAACTGAAACCCAGAGAGGAGACTGCTACATAGATGGGATTGTGATTGAGGGGCAGTCTTGCTATAAATCCATCACTAAATCTTTATATGTCAATGACTCAGAAACTCTCCACAAGATCAGCTCCATATATTTAGAGCCAAATGCCCTAAAACTTCAGCACTGAAAACTAACTTAACACTGATCTTATCCCAATACTGAGAATGGCTTCATCAAATAGGAGAGAGGAAGCTACACAAATAAGTAGCTAGATAGGAATGAAGGGGAGGTAGTGGTGGTAATTGGGGAGGGAAACTAGGCCTCTCTAATCTGAGTGCAGGAACTAAAAGACTCTGAAGATCCGTAAAAAAATAAACAAAAAACCCTAACCACATAACAATGTGTAACAAATCAGAGATAATGACAAGATTCAGTAAAAAAAAATTAGTCTTGGTCTCATCTTTTCAACAATAAACATTCATTAGAGTGGGTGTTACCAAGCATTATGAACTGACTTGACAAATAAATTGTCTTGTATAAATACCAAGTGTCCCAAAAGTCTTTATACAGTTTTCAGCTTTAAAAATTTCAGAAGTATAATGGCTACAAGCTTACAAAAAAGGGAAAAAAGCCAGCAATTTTTAAAAGTTTAATTATTTAAATTTATTTTATACTTAATAAGTTTCCTGAATTTTGAAGAATAAATTTTTAGTTTTAACAAGAAGGAACATTCTATCATTGTTTGAGTGTGACAGTTTCTGAATGACATTGTCTCAGTCCAATGGATTGGTAGAAGAAGACCTCTTGCTTGGCCACCATAGTCTTGCTCTATCTCCATTAGACTTTTACTTGTGGGGTAACATCAAAAGTGTCGCATTCTCATCTAAATTTTGTTCTTTGGATAATTTCAAGGCTAGGATTACAAATGCAAATCCTTTCAGTCCTTGAGCAGCCACTGGTGAAAGCTTTTACAAAGTTTGAAAATTTAAGAGTAATGTATAGTACAAGACAGTCATTATGTGGTATTGTAATAATCCTATCAATGTTTTAAAATTTCATAGGTTTAAAATGCTGCTTTTTGAAGTTTGTAGCATTTATGCTTCTAAAGTTAATAAAGTTTACAACTACACTAAGACTTTTGGGACAGCCTGGATATGCCAGGCCAGATCAGGTGATCCCCAAGTCTTGAGAGACGCCTCTGTAGCATGCAATGTTTATTGCAAGTTTTTCCATCTAAATCCATGTAATTAAATTTCATTTACCATAATGTACACTAAGGGTACACTAGGGCTCAGCAAGCATGCCAATGGACACTGTTTTAGAAGCACTCTCTATTATTAAATAGAAGATTGCTATAGATATAGTAAAAAAAAACCTCTTGTTTTAGTAAGACTCTCTCAAACAACATTTTGACTTAGAATATTAAATACCTACATGAGGATGATGAAGTCTGGTACAGAAGACATCTCTGCAAGGACTGGAAGATGCCTCCTTTAATGCTACATTTTGAAACAATTAGTGGTAGGTCAAATTAGACATGAATGATTGGTTTGTTGGCTCTGCTAAGAGAAATGCTGAAATAATTGCTAGATGCTTATTTAAGATCCAGAGTCTTTAATTTCCTTTGAGCATCTGGTACCAAATGTCAGCAGTATGTTCTTCTGTATTATTACAGTGACTTGGGAACTAGAGGTCTCAGTGATTTGAGAAAAAGCTGCCTTATGGGGGAAAGTGGGCAGCCATCTCTGTTGAACCCCAGGTTCCAATCTGAGCAGGGTTAATTAAGTCTTTATCCTTCTGAGACAGAGTTTCATCACAATGGAAGAGGTAAAAAAAACTGAGGAACCAAGGACTTTAAAAACTAAGCTTCTCAAGAAAAGCAAGTGTTTCTTCTTTTGACATCTCCATAGCACAGTTCTCTACACAAGATGGTAGCCAAAAAGAAATATTAATGATGAGCTCCTATGTGCAGAGATACAACAGACCTTGTAGAGTAGGATTTCCCAACCACTGAGGGACCAACACCTAAGGCATATTTATTACAAACCTTCAAAATTTTTTAATAATAATAAACTAAAAGAAATTCTGAGTACTCCTCTCTGTAAACTGCTTCTCTCAGATACAATCTCCTCTGTCTCCTAAGTTTTGGACCCCTGCCCAGATTTTTATTTTACTAAATATTGGCCTGGGCTGGGAAAGACTGCTTTATAAGACTAGGGTCTAGCACCTCGAGCCCATCAAAGCCAGATATACATGTCACCTATATGTCTTTGCCTTTGTTAAAAGGGCAAAACACTTTATTCCCTCCGTGAAACAAAATCTAAAGAAAGATAATGTACAAGTTCTTTGCAAATGAGTTCTTCATAAATGACACTAAGACATATTTTCAAATATAACAAAGAAAAGAAATAAAAGCGGTCTGAAATGAAATGAACATCTTACTTATATCCATATGCAGAGTTTCTTAGTGAAATGCGATATTTTCTGCCCTCATTCTGAAAACTCAATATTATTCTCTTTCTTCGGACACACTTATACAAAAGTTCTAAACCAATGGAAGCTAAGAACCCCTACAGAAACAAGCTCTGTCCATGTTTCTTCTCATGGATGGAATGGCTTCTTTTAGATGCCATACTTAGTTCATGGAGGATCAGTATCTAAACAGCCTTCATTCATGCTCAATTACTTGGAATGAGTCATATTTTATTTAGAAGTGTATGATTTTAAAAAATGAATACAGACTGTTCAAGAGAAAATGTGAACTCAATTCAGCATCTTAAAATCCACATGAGTTTTTAGGATTATTTTCACATCTAAGAACATAATCTGTCCCATAGAGTTAGACTCTGAAGTTAGGTAATATACAATAGAAATCTTTTATAATACTCATGTCAAGAGATAGGATTAACGCCTATTTTCTTTTTTTTTGGTTTTTGTTAGTCAGTTTGTTTTGTTGAGGCAATTGAGGTTCAGTGACTTGCCCAGAGTCACACAGCTAGTAAGTGTTATGTGTCTGAGGGCGCATCTGAATTCAGGTCCTCCCGACTCCAGGGCCGGTGCTCTATCCATTGTAGCACCTAGCTGCCCCTGCCTATTTTCTAAGTTAGCAAACTCATATGAACAATATTTCCTCTACATTGTTACTATTTCTGTGGACCATAATTTGCCCTCTGGTATATCCAAACTCGGGCTGTAGAAAATCATGACATGGAATTAATGTAGTTATGCTGCAAGTGTTTCCAGAGCAGACAGTACCTGGTTTGTGACATTTTAAAGTCTCATTTTATCAAGTGTTTCAAGATTAGGAGTTATGTTAGGTACATACGCTGTACTTTATTTCTCCACATTAAATGTTTTGTTTCTAAATGCTGTGTTTAGAAAATACTGTGTGGATTTAAGGACTTTCTGTGATTCTGCACTGGAAAATGGGAGTTCTCTTCATTCTTCCTAAGGTTAAGCTAGAGCTGAAGTCAAGTTGTTGCTTCTAAAGCCATGGTCTGCCATTTGGACATCATTTGGGCTCTTGAAACAGTAGAAATTACATGTGAAGGGCACAGAAAAATACCTTCTATTTCCACATGCCCCCCAAAACAGGCAATATAACAAACTGACCATTTAAAAAGCAGAATTGTTAGCCACATTTCACCACAGTGGGAAAATCACCGTGTCATTTAGCCCACTTTGTACTCCCTACCCTTCTTCCACTGTGGAGCCTTAATATCAATCACTGGGCCATGAAGGTCTCAGCTAAACACCTCAGTACTGAAGGGACATGTAAGCTCCTTAGGGTCAGAGAACGTACTATGGTTACTGAATGCTACTTTTTTCTGCAGTTACCTATGAGGAATATAAGCCATGGTACTTCCTAAGGTCATTCATGACATGAAGCTTTTGGCATGGAACTATTTCTCTAGTCTTTATTCTTACTCATACATGCCCACTTTCTTACGGTTTGCCTATGACAAGATCACCTGTTTTAAATTATAAGCTCCTAAAATCAGGTACTATATTTCTTTTTATTCATTTTGTCCAATACCCATCAAGAGCATGTAATAAATACTATCTGATAATGGCAGCAATGATGAAAAGGACTTACAAAATTTTATAGAGCAGGCCACCAAATACGGGTCCTAATGAAAGCTACATATATCAAACTGGCTATTCCATTCTTATAAAATCTGAAAGTAAGTTAATAATGCAAGTATTATGAATCACAGTCTGAAGTCTAAAAACTAGGAACCGAAAAACATTTCATTGCTCCATCCAAGACATCTTTTCCCCCTGAGGAATACTGTAAAATTTAATTACCACATTCTTTAGGCTCCAGAGCAGGGAAAAAAATAAATTGTTTAGGATTGTTCATATTTAAAAGAGACCATTGAATGCACATTCCACACCACAAATTTGGAGTCTCCTACCTCTTTAAAGTTATCAAATGCTGATAAAATGATTTCATGCCCTCCTCTTACAAGACAAACAGCTGCCAAGAGTTCTAACACAAGTGCTTTCGTTCTGTCAAAACAACAAGAAAGAAAAAAAACCAAAATCAACGAGAACATGATTAATTAGATCCTCCTAGGAAAAATGGAGGCAGCAATGTGAAATACATTTCTAGTGTTTTTAATTTTTACTAGCTTACAATTCTATGATTTGTCTAAGACAGCAAATTTATGACCCATTTGACAGGCCTGCCCCATTTTCACTAACACAGAAATTGGATATTAATGAAAAATCGAGAAAAGAGTTACACCAGCTATTAAACTCTGGGTAAGGACATTGTCTCCCACCTTTAATGTTGAGTGATAACAGTTCTGCTTTGCTTTTAAAACAAATTTACAAGCTGAATAGCAATAGGAAATTTGGAAACGTTAGGAAAAGAAATCATTGGTTACATATTTTCTCCATGCTATGGAAACAAAACTATTTCATTTGTCTAAAAAGTTCAAAATTAAATTAAATAAATGCTCTCATGCTTCAAACTTGCTCATTTGCAGATGGCTCTGAATAAATCCTCTGTGACAATGTGAGTTTGTAACAAGCTTACTTTCCCTCCCTATGTAGGTGACTTGGAACTAGCAAATAACAGCTGTGCTAATATACAGATAGTTTCCCTGTCCCCAGAAACAAAAATAAAACCACATCTGAAAATATTATTGGAAGGAAAACTCAGAGAAAAAATTTCTAAACTTTCAAAGTAAAATGCAACAAGGGTGCATCATATGCCAGCTATTGGTGCCAATGTATAATCGGGCATACCGTGCCTTAGAGAAAGGCTCCCACATGGCATTTTGGACAAAGGTCCTTGTGACAGCCAATGATATAAAAAAATCCTAAACAAAAGCAAATGAGGTTTGGGGGCATGGAGGCTAAGGATGTACTAGTAGGATTATACTCATTTAATACAAACCAAGGAAGTTGATCTGCCAACTCCCAAAGCTCCCCTCACTTGAAATAAAAAATGGTGATCCAATTGGAGAGGATCTCACTTCAAATTAGATTCTTCAGGGGGTCACAAGAGTTCTTAGATATGTGATCGCTCAATCGATCTATCTATCTATCTTTAGAAAACTGACAAAAATAGACTGTAACTAGGAGATATAAAATATTCTGCTGGAATACTAATTATCATGGGGCAACTTTGAAGTAGATAATAAAGAGATACTTCTGGAGATAATCTGTGATTTAAAAACACATTCACAAAAATTATACACGCATATGTGTCCAAGACACATACATGCAGACATATATGCATACACGTGCATTGCATGTAATATACAAAGGGATAAGGATAAGGAATTGGAACTGGGATTTTATTTCTATAGAGAATGCTGAGGCGTCCTCTCTACTGATGACTATCAGCACCTTCTCTACTACTTACTGTTTTCAAGAATTGACAAAAGCACTATCAGGTTGAATAACTTGCCCAGGTTATGTAGCCAGTCTATGTCAAAGGAGGACCTTGAATCCAGGTTCTTTTTGCTTTTATGTTATGTTAGGCCATTATATTATGCCATCTCTCATAATAATAATATACACACATTCATATATACACACAGTGGTGGTAGGATACTCACAGCAATGAGATCACAGATCCACTTAAGCATATAACGACATATAAGCATATATACAAATATATAGATATACACCTACGTACAAAGTTATACACACCGACACAAATACATACACATGTGCTTTGAAAACAAACTAAAAGAACATACCTTCCTTTTGCTTTTCAAGGTTCAAGGCTTTAGACACATACTTCTAGTTTCTAGCCCTTATAAAAATTATTCCATATAGACTTTCTTGAATAACCTTACTATCAAAGACTACAGGTCTCAAGGTGATATAATAGGAGGAAGGGATCACTTTTTCTATAAAAAATATTACCATTTGGGTGATGACACTATTGAGTGATGACATATACCAAAGGTATAAGTAGAGGTTCCCAAGATTCTACCACTATCACATTCTTAGATATCCCCACTTCATCCAACAGACTTGAAGATAATAGAGATCAGTTCTATCAAGCAATGAAAGCTAATGAGATCTAAAAGTTAGCAGTGTCACCATTTAACTGTGCTATATGAAATTGCTAAAATAAACATTTTTAAACCTACAGTATCGTGTTTCATTCCAGAGAGAAATATAGGCGGTTCTATAATTTAAAGAGACCAAACAGTTTAAGTCTATGACTTAATTAGCTTGTATTAGTTTTATATATCACAGAAAAACCTTACCTGGGGTTTTTGTTGTTCAAACTTAGTGCAATTTCATTAACAGCGTGTGGATGTGACATGACCATATTGAAGCCATACTGAAATCAACAGAAAAACAGAACGGTTTACAGTTCAGTTTGGGGGCTGTCAAATATTTATTAAAAAAAAAAATTAAAAATTTTAAAGTCTAGCCTATTTCCATGGGAACCATGACCAGAATATCTAATCATCGGATCTGGCAACTTTTGTAATTTCTGTAAACTTTTCCTAACTTCAGTAAAATTTGAATGATTAATAAAATTCTGGCCAAGTCACAGAATTAGCCAGAGGACTGGGAAGTCACCACTAGCTAAGTCATAGTCATAAGTCATCAAATTCTGACCCCTTTTGTCTTCATGTAGCCATTTCTTCCTACAGTCATCCTTATAATAATTATAATAAAGTAGCTTTGATCATCATTTTATTGTATGCAAGCGTAAATGAAAACAAAAAGATTTTAAGGGTGATAACTGAAGGTCCCATAAGCAACTAATGACATTAGTGCTAATTTTTAGTCACAGCTATTTTATCTTGCTAAATTTCCTCAGGATGCCTTCCTTTTTTCCCCTTTATTTTCACCTTTGTACAGTCCTTCTTATTGGACTTCTAAATCTGTTTCCCTACAAATCTTTTATATTTACCTTTCAGTAGAGTTTCAATTCGATGTCATCAGTTTGTCATAAACAACAATTACATATTTCTAAAGAACACTTTATCACTGTTTAAGCCAGGAAATAAAAGTCTATAAGCCTAGCTCTCTATTACCAAAAGATCTTACTCATCCTTTTTATGATTGCATGGCACTTTATTCTTGCCTGTCAGAATTGTGGGGACTCTACTACCAGACAGACCTGCCAAAGACTCTAGCTGGGTATCTCACTATAATCACAGCCACAATCACCCATGGAAAATCCTGCCTTGACTAGGGAGCAGCACTGCTCTTTACCACTGGCATGAAGGAAAATACATTGCTTCTGGACTTATATGACGTTCACAATATACCTTTCGCAACACATTTCTCTGTCTAGTCTCTTCTGCCTGATTTAAACCCGACACTCTGTTCTTATTATACTTGGCCTCTATCTCTGCCAGTGCTCTGTTGCTCATTTTGTAACTATAGAAACTGAACCCTGCCTGTGTAGCCCAATTAGATTCTCTTGCCTAGTTCAAACCTTTGGAGACACTTGCCTATTCCCTCTAGTATGGCCTAATCCCCTTCAGTTCTAACTTCTGCTTTACCCACATTAATGTACCTTGCATGCCCATTCCTCATACTTGGGTTTATACTATCTGATCTCCTGAATGAGTTCTTGGCTGTACATCACACTTTCTTCTAAGTCCCACAAACAAGACCAAGGTCTCAGTGCTGGCTGTTCTGTTTGGCATTAAAAAGCCTTTTATAACCTTCTCCCCCTCCTCCCTTTTCATTTTTATCACACGTTAATCCTCCTCCCTCCAAGTACTCTGCGATCCAGTAACATTGGCCTCCTAGAGGTTTCTTGAACAAGACATTTCATCTCCAAACTCTGGGCACTTTCCCTGGCATCCCTCATTCCTTGAATTCTCTTCTTCCTCATCTCCACTTTTCCAGCTTCCATGGCTTCCTTCAAGTCCTGGCTAAAATCCCTTCTATGAAAAGCCTTTCCCGATTCCCTTAATGCTAGTGCCTGCTCTGTTGACAATATCCAATTCATCCAGTCTACATTTTATTTGTCCATAGTTGTTTGCATATTATCTCCCCCATTATTGGACTGTGAGCAAACTGAGTGCTGGAACTGTCCTTTGACTTTCTCTGTGTCCCCAGGTGCTTAGCTCAGTGCCAGGCACAGCACAGACACTTAAAAAATTCTTGTTCACCTGACACCTGGCCTTTTGCTGCTTATGTTCTGACAGTGACACTCTCTTATGGACAAAAACATTCTCTTAAATTGGAGATACTTTATTTTTATAAAGAAAAAAAAATGTCCCCCATCACTTATTTCTCCCCAGATTAGGAGATATCATCAGAATAAAGGGAACAAACCAAATTTTAAGTTTCTAAATCATTAGAATTTTCTTTCTGACCATGATATCATATTGGAAATTTGGGGACATTTAAAATGGAAATAACATAAAGAAGAAAATTAAAATATGGTCTAGGTTCAATTTGTCTAGATGGTCAAGAGGACCTTTGCCGGGGGCAGGGGTGGGGGACGGGGGTAGCGGGCAAATAAATTTAGCAACATTTCCTGAAATAAGAATACATACCTGGTAATTCATGATGGCACGTAAACACATGATACAGACGTGAACATCATCCTTTTTACTCACTAATCTTGAATTTTTCAGAGTTCTTCTGCTTGGCAAAGTATTATAGCTGCAATTGAAAAGAGCAACTTTTACAAAACAACAGACCACTTCCATTAGCTGGGGGATATGTGACTTCAAAAATGGATTTTCCCTACCTTTTACCAGCTAATGACTGGTTTTCATAACATACATTACATGATTCTCCCAGTGCCCGGTGCAAAATAAGTACCAAGTGCAAAAACACCAATGCAAAAATGGCCATCACAAAGCCTTCTTTCAAACTAATACCTGTGTTGTTTGACATAATGGCTCAACACCTTGACATGCTCAGTTGGTTATGCACAAGACACTAAAATGCATCCTACATTGATGGTACACATTCAATAGATGCAAGAAGCCTAAAGACCCACATGAGCAATGTTGGACAGCTACTGGTTCCTAATGAATAAGCTATGTTAGCTTTGCAGAAGTGACCTGAGGCAGGATGCATGCCATCCTAAATGCAGCAAAGAGGTGAGAGGCAGGAAAAGCCTTAGCTTCGTGACTCCATCACTCTTTGAACATGTGGCACATCTTCAACCTGGCATTCTCATCCAAACTTGCCATCTGTGCCATCCAGAAGCTCCTGCTGTGCTACTGCAGACCTAAGCAAAGCAGCACATTCAGGCAGGACCAAACACTTAATGGTGCCAGGCCCTTGAACTTTTTAACACTGTGCAAATGATTCTGAAGGCAGTCACTCACCTAAAGGCAGGTACAGTGGCAGAATCTTGGATGAAAATATGGAATGTGGGGGCGAGGAAGGAAGAAAGAGGAAGAGAGAGAGAGAGAGAGAGAGAGAGAGAGAGAGAGAGAGAGAGAGAGAGAGAGAGAGAGAAAATTTGCCCATGCTTTTTCAAACTAAATTGAGATGCTTGTAATATTGGACTTCCCTCTTTATCATTTACAATGAGAAACTTTTCATTATTAGGAGATCTTGGAGGAAAATAGTCTAGATGATGATCCTGTAGAGGTGACACAAAAACAACTCTGCAGATACCACACAACACAATTCTCTGATTTACATGCTGGGTGTGTATACAGTATCTCAGAATAGAAGCATAGGATGCTAGTTTTCTTTCCAAGCCCAAGACAAAAAGAAATTTTAAAAATGGAAAAATTATTTCCCGAGAAAGAAGCCAATGGCAGAAATGCCCTCACAAAACAAGCTATATCCCCCCTCTACTACTATACTAAATTAGAAATACAGATGAATATTTTGTGATTAACTAACATATTCCTCAAAAAATTTAACAGATGGTTAATGATTTAAAATGTCTGTGGGTATTCTGACAGGTAGATGATTATCTAAAATTGTCTTACTGAGCATACCAATTGATTTCAATTAATCTTCAATTAGTCTCGTAAATAAGCCTACTATTTGGCCAAATTAATTTGGCCAAAGAATTATAACAAAGCATCCTTTTCTAGATAGTAAAATTTTCAGCTATCAGACTATCTTGATTTTGCTAGTCATACAAAGGGGGCTGAATTTCAAGACTTCCTGGTTTGTTTGCAATTAGAAATAAAATCTCCAAATTTCACCAATTACACCATATCTTATTTCAATTGTTTATGTGAAAATGAAAGAAATTGAGGTTAAAGAAACAGGTTCAATTTATATACTCACAAGCTCAATATCATTATCTAGTTTTAAAACCAATTATCATTTCACTAGGACACATCATTTATATACAGCAGCTAGATGGCACAGTGGATAGAATGCTGGGCCTGAAGTCAGAAAGACTTGTCTTCCTGTGTTCAAGTCTAGCCTCAGACTAGCTGTATGAACCTGGGCAAGTCACTTCACCCTGTTTGCCTCAGTTTCTTCATCAGTAAAATGAGCTAGAGAAGAAAATGGCAAACCACTCCAGTATCTTTGCCAAGAATATCCTAAATGGGATCACAGAGTTGGACGTGACTGGAAAATGACGGAACAGCAACATCATTTCACCATAACCACAACCAGAGCATGACTGCTAACATTTCTTGGAAGTCTCACAGAAAATGGTACTTCTTTAAACAATTACCACGCTGCCAGCCTGACCCAACTATGTTTAATCTACATAGCCTACAAATTAGGTTTCTCCTTTTCTCCTACTTTCCTTCTGTTGTTTTTTCCCCCTTGGTATTTATTTTCTAGCTGAACTCAGTCCTTAAGTACACAGTAAACTGTACTAGTGAGACAGTCTTCACCTCTCTGATTGAAAGCATTTCCTGCTACTTTAAAAAAAAAGGCCCCCAAAACCACCAAGAAAGGAAAGTATATTTTCAATAAAAGCCACTTCCAGTAGTGACACTCTCTTATTTTTAGCCATAAAAGCTGAAAATGTATTTAACAATGTACAAAAATTTATTTATGGACCCAAGATATATCATACTAGAGAGTTTCACTTACCTGTAGTCGTTCCAAATAAATGTTAATTATTTTAGCAAGTGGAACAAGCTAGTATACTTCATGGTCTTTCCCAGCAATTAAGCAATCCACCTAATAACTATGGATGCTATATTTTTTTTTCTTTACTGCAGTTCTATCAATCCAATACCAGGGATGTATGCAGTAAGGATCTTTTTATAAAGCCAAGATGTGTTTGTAATGATTCAAAAGGATTTAAGTCATACTTGTATGGCTTATATTACAACTTATATGGTTTAAATTACAACCTCCACAATTTATGTTATAATGAAGATTCTTCCAAAAGTATTTGACCACCATAATCTTATAACACTAAATGTTTAAATAAAATATTTCCATTCATATCAGTAGTAAGCTATTCCTAACTTTATTTTATATATCATTTAAAACAGAAGGGCAGGCTCATGTAGTTGATAGAGAATTGGCCTTGAACCAAGTTGACCTTGGGTTCAAGTCCCAATTCTGACACATACTAGCTATGTAACCTGAGACAAATCACACAACCTTCATGCAAATCTTTAAGATTCTATAGTGCAATGTTTTAACAATTGTGAAGAACAATTTGGCACTATTCCCAAAAGGCCATAAAATTCTGCATACCCTTGACCCAGCATTATCAATACTAGGTCTGTATCCCAAAGAGATCAAAAGAAAAGGAAAAGGAGCCACATGTACAAAAATATTTATAGCAGATCTTTTATGGTACAAAGAATTAGAAATTGAGGGGATGCCCATGAATTGGGAATGGTTGAACAAGTAGTGGTTTATGATTGTGATGAAATACTATTATGTTGTAAGACATGATGAAGGGGATGGTTTCAGAAACACCTAGGAAGACTTACATGAGCTGATGCAAAGTGAAGTGAGCACAATTAGGAGAACACTACATTGTAATAACAATATTGTAACAATAATCAACTGTGAAAGACTTGGCTACTCTTATCAATACAATGATCCAAGATAATTCCAAAGGACTCATGATGAAAAATGCTATCCATCTCCAGAGAGAGAATTGGTGAACTCTGCGTGCAGACTGCAGCATATTTTTCCCTACTTTCTTTATTTTTCTTTATTTTTTTTTAAGCAACATGGCCACTATGAAATCTATTTTGAATTACTTCACATGTACACTAGGTATCATATTGTTTGCTTTCTCAAGTTAAGGTAGGGCTAGACAGGGGGAGAGAATTTGGGACTGAAAAATAAAAATTTCTAAAAAAAATTTAAATTTTTAAAAAATTACACTGCCAAAAAATAAAAAAGACTCTAAGTTGCAGAAAAGTTGCAAATCAGAATTGGCAGCAGGAGCTTCCTTACTTAGGGATTTCCTATATCAATGAAATTAGAGAGGTCTAGTCTTATCCTATCATTTAAAATATACTATATGTTAAAAACCCATGTGAATAATTATTAAAGCAAATATTTAAGAGGTCAACACATTCTATGTGTACAAAATTGTAACTTATAAAAGCTGATTTTGCTATCTACTCAGACAAATCAGTTTCATTACTTTACACATACACCCTTCCCCACATATGTGTATATGCATATGTATACATACTGAATAGAACAGGTACACACACACACACAAAACATACAGGAGACAGGAAGTCTGACATAATGGATACAGGGTTAGTCTTGGAGTCAAGAAGAGATAGGGTTAAAGTCTCAGAAATCTACCAGCTGTGTGAAGATGAGAAAGTTAACTTTAATCAATGAGCATTTATTAAACACTTACTAGGTGTGAGTCACTGCTAAGCCCAGGAGAAACAGTTCTGCCCTCAAGGAGTCTATGGTCAAGCAGATAGGTAGATACAAGATCAACAAAAGTTATTTCCCGGCAGGGAGTAGATGTCAACAACCAGGGAGATCAGAAAAAGTGGCACTTGAGCTAAGTCAATGGAAATTAAATCTTTTGAGAGACAGAAGCAAGGAGGGAGAAAGATCAAATAAAAATAAAAGTGTTATCAATAACAGCCTTTAGTAGCTTACTTACAAATGACACTTAGTTGCCAAAAAATACCAAGGCCAAGTATTTTCCTTTTTCTTTCTTTCAGAAAGAAATTGGGGTTAAGTGACTTGTCCAGCCTCACATAGCTAATAAGTGCCTGAGGCCACATTTGAACTTAGGTCCTCCTGACTTCAAGTCTAATGCTGTGCTACCTAGCTGTCCCCAAGGCCAAGTATTTTCAAAGTATACTGTATTATAGTTGTTCTATACTGGGCTAGACAGAATTAAAGGACAAAAAAAAAAGCAGGGTTGGAACATGAGTCAATAATAGCCAATCAAGTTCTCATGTTAAAACCTTGCTGCCTGCAACCATATGTGCTAGCTTATTCCTTGCCAAAGTGTTTATTTCCTGTCATACAGAAATAGCTTTTTTCTTCAGCTATTTATGGATGTCTTTTTTTTTCTGGCCACCGATTATTTCAACCACTATGGAAGCTCAGTTTGCCAATAGTAGCAGGTTTTTTTCCCCCCCTGTATTTTGTGTCACAATGCAGAATGATGAATTCACTTAGCTGGTCCGAGGGACCATTTTACATTTGAAAGACAGAGGGCCCAGCTTAGATTCCTTTGTGAGCTTCTCCCTAGACAGAGGAAGCCACTT